GTCGCATTTATGTACCCCTCGTGTCGGCGTGCCGCGCCAAAATGATCCTCATCCCATTCTCTTCCGCGGCTTCTATTTGCTTCCAGTTGACCCCGGACGTCAACCACCCCCTCAAAGGACGGTTTCGACCCTTACCGGCACGGCTCGGCGCCAGCTTTCGCGTCCTTTGCGAATTTGTCTCCACGAACTGCCAAATCAGTGATCCCGACGGACTCCGGACATTTTTTGACACTTTTCTAGCTTTTATTTCTGTTCGATAGTTTTTTTTTACAGAATAGTTTGAAACGCTGTCCGGAATGCTGGAAAAGTTTCGATGAGATTGCGTCGTCGGTTGACTGCGGATTTTTGGGCAGAATGTGCTGCAACTGACGCCAGAGCCAATTACCAATCATTTCCTTGCTTTAACAATTTTATCAGGAGCAGAGTAGTAAATTGATAACCTTCAATTCTTGTAATCTTTCTATTTTTTTTTTCAAATTGCGCCTACTTAGTTTCGCCGTAAATGCATAGAATTCTCATTCCAATTCTCATTCCAGCTATGTTTTTCAATATTATAATTTTTTTGATACGCTTATAGCTCGTATTTCTACTCGCAATTTTTCTAGAAGATAGTCTAAATATCGTATTACTTGTAAAACAAAGTTTCAACAATATTCTTCCATCTGCAGTGTTTTTAAAAAATGTTTCATTCATCAACTTTTAGAGCTCTCATTTTAAACTACGTGATAATCCCAATTAACTTCGATAATTTCTTTGATACACTTATAACCCGTATTTCTATCCGCAATTTTTCTAGAAGATAGTCTAAATATCGTATCACTTGTAGAAAAAGTTTCGCCAATATTCCCCGATCTGAAATGTTCTTAAAAATTGTTCCATCCATCGGCTTTTAGAGCTCTCAACTCGACCCTTCGCTCCAAATGAACTACGCTAATTTCTTTCACACCCTTATAGTCTCCATTCTCACCTGTAACTTTTTTATGAAACAGTTTCGATACTACCTTATTTTCAAAAAAAGTTGCAACGACATTGCTCCATTATCAACGTTAACAAAAATCGAATATTCCGTCCGCTTTTCGAACCGTGAGCATCTGAACTTGAGAATCCTTCAAATGAACTTTGACCATTCCTCTTTGACACCCTTAAAATCGTTATTTCAATATGAAATTGTTTGACGAAGTAGTTCGAGTATCGTATTACACGTGAGAATAAGTATCGACAATGTACCACGACCGGTAGTGCTTATAAAAATTGTGAAATCCGTCGCCTTGGTCGACGCCCGCGATTCCTCCGGCGACTGCACTCGCCGGCGCCACTTAATCATCCGCGAGATGAAAAATGATTTCTACGCTCGCGTAAGTACTTCTGCGAGTCCGCGTTTACTCTGCTGGTTAAATAATGATAACGGGAAAACAGTGTTTCGCCCCGGCTTAACGGAAATGATTGATATTCCTGCTTATTAGATTCGNCCCGATCTGAAATGTTCTTAAAAATTGTTCCATCCATCGGCTTTTAGAGCTCTCAACTCGACCCTTCGCTCCAAATGAACTACGCTAATTTCTTTCACACCCTTATAGTCTCCATTCTCACCTGTAACTTTTTTATGAAACAGTTTCGATACTACCTTATTTTCAAAAAAAGTTGCAACGACATTGCTCCATTATCAACGTTAACAAAAATCGAATATTCCGTCCGCTTTTCGAACCGTGAGCATCTGAACTTGAGAATCCTTCAAATGAACTTTGACCATTCCTCTTTGACACCCTTAAAATCGTTATTTCAATATGAAATTGTTTGACGAAGTAGTTCGAGTATCGTATTACACGTGAGAATAAGTATCGACAATGTACCACGACCGGTAGTGCTTATAAAAATTGTGAAATCCGTCGCCTTGGTCGACGCCCGCGATTCCTCCGGCGACTGCACTCGCCGGCGCCACTTAATCATCCGCGAGATGAAAAATGATTTCTACGCTCGCGTAAGTACTTCTGCGAGTCCGCGTTTACTCTGCTGGTTAAATAATGATAACGGGAAAACAGTGTTTCGCCCCGGCTTAACGGAAATGATTGATATTCCTGCTTATTAGATTCGCCCCCCCCCCCCGGCTGTTATCAGCCGTCCGAATCAATATTTCAAGTGGGCCGCGCGCGTTTTCATGCGAATTCTTTGCGTTTTATAGGCGCACTTTTGGTATTCCCGAGAAAACGGAGCCGTGGAAAATTTTTATTTGCCGCGCCAATGGCCCCGCTGGATAAAAGCGTGCTTAAAAATGCACCGGCTCCCGAACTTTGTAGTTTGCCGTGCTTTGGAGAATTTTACGAGCTATAAATGCATCAGAATCGCCGGCTCAATTGCGTTGCCTGGCGGTTTCGTGGCATTAGATTTCCTCTAAGTTTCACTTCGCTAAATTGGGCTTCATCGGGATACGTATTTCGTTCGCCGATCTGCTGCCGTTTCGTTTGTTTCGTTTGTTCATGGCATTTATAAGCGAGATTTATACGCTCGATGCGTATAGAAACGTACGAGATAACTTTTTAACGATTCGATTAAAATATGTATATATCGGCTGTGACGAAATTAGACCGGGGATGTTCATGCATTTATAGCGTATTTGATATCGCGGAGCACGATAAAAATGTAAATCATCCTGACATTTTTCTGAGCCCTGTTTCATTTTATTTATGAAGCTCTTTCCGCAGGAAATAAGTTTCTGTATCGGTAACATGCTTCTACGGACCTTTGAGATGCAGATTTATGCATTCACAATATGGTTGATTACATGGAGTGCAGTAAAATGCATAAGTTACGTCGAAACGCACAATTTTGCGTTGCTATGGATGCATCGAAACTCTTTATGAAGAATATCAATTTCTTGTGTACCGTCGGTCTTCGAAGTGCACCTTTATGCGCTCGTTGCATCCGCGATGCTCCAAACTGCAATACAGTATAAAATATCTTATTATTTCGGCTGCGTTCTTACAAGCAAAATGAAATTTTCGATTCCTCGCACGGGAAACGAGTTGCTGTTATGCGCGGGCTTCCGAAATGCGCCTTTATGCGCTAATTGCATCCGCGAGGCATCAGAATAAGATAAAATAGAATTTCCACTGAAAATTCTTCTAATTTACATTGCTTTACATTTCTTCCGCATCTACGTTGTAACAAGCGAAATTAAATTTTTAGTTCTTCACACAGAGAATATAAGTTTCTGTTATACGCGTGGACTTCTAGAATACACCTTTACGCGCTAATTGCATTCGCGGTGCATGAAAATACGGCGAGATACAATTTCCGCTGGAACTTCTTTCAATTTCGTACGCATTATTGCCGGCGAAATTAAATTCTCAATCGTTCGCACAGAAAATAATGTTTCCGTTAGGTATCGATCTCCAGAATGCGTCGTTATGCGTTTCGATGCATACTTGATTCGCGACAAGGTCGAATTTGAAATACGAGGTTCGTTAAAATTTTCTGCGCACATTACTACCAGCAAAATTAGAATTATAATTTAATACGCGGAAAGTAATACAAACGTTGAATGGAAAACCTTCGAAATGCGGCTTTATGCATTCGTTGCATAAAGGGCTGCATGCATTGTTTGTCCCTCGTAACACGATAAATTGTGTACCAGATTAAAAAGCGCTTGACGACGTTACGTCACGATTCCACGAGCAAAACGAACTTTCAATTCTCCGCGGTGTGAAAATAAGTTTCATTCGCCGGGGATATTCGAAAACCGAGAACGCCGCGGAGATTCGCAGCCGCGAGTGATCGGGTTTCAAAGCGCTTTGCGCAGCCCGAGCGGATTTCGTAAGATCGTGTATTCAGAAGTACAACCTATAACGATATCGGTAACTATCGAGCGATACCCCGACGCGGTAATCAACGGAGTGACGCTTAATTATCGCCGCGTTACGTAGCTCGCGGATCCGAGCTACGGCCAGGTAAAACGATAAGCATATTAACGGGCGTTGCGACAGATAACGTCGGTAAGAAACCCGATGAAGCATCCGTCTATCGATCCCAGCGCCGAGTTGATGACCTAATTATGCGTCGTCTGATGTTTCTCCGGCAAGCTCATTACGCGAAATCTCGATTCCGAGTTCCCTTACTTAATTAAGGCATCAGACCGACCCTCCGTCTTAAGGGGCAGCTTCTTTCCTCCCCGTTCCTTTTGTCGTCGAGAGCATTCAGCCCTCGGTTCGCCGCGAAACTTTCAATCCGACGTCGTTCGGAATTTTTATTGTTGCCCAAGGATTTATTATTTCACCCTCTCCTGGACACCGTGAATCAGCGGTATCATTAAGCAGTTTTCCCGAGACAAAGGAGCCGCTGGAATTAATTCCGCGCTCTGTTTTCTTGGATAGATTTGCATATGGACGACTCGGAAGCCGATCCATTGATCTTAAAATTCTGGTGAACGAGGATTTTGCAAATTAGCTGTAAACGATTAACGATGCAACTAAAGCGCAGAACACAATTTCTATTATAATTAGATAAAAAAGATTAAGGTTAATATTTATTTAATATTAATTTAATATTAATATTTATTTTAATATTTAATATTTATTTAGTTCATTTAACTTTCTTATTTTTATTTCTTTTTATTATCTTCTTTATTTTGTTTGGTCATTCCGCGGACGATACAAGTGCAGTTTTTTATTATCTACTTATGTTCAATAAGTTAATTAACAGTTATGTCAACTGTTCACTAAATTGATAAAAATTCGAAAAAATTGTGTGTTAATTTAGTTTCCCTGTAATAAATGCTCAAAAGTCGCCTATTGTTGCAAAATCGAGAAAGCGTATTTACTCTTGGAAGTCAATGAAAATTGGGAGGGATGAATTATCTTGGAATTAAATGAATTTTCTATTGAAACGTGTGTGTGTGTGCTGTTTGAACATTGCAACTTTGACCTCGTAGACAATTTATGTGCCTTAAACATTAATGAAATCAAGAAAAATATTTCTGTAGACTAACAAAACGATATTTTTTCTAGGTGCCGAATGAAACAATGGAGGAGAGACCTACCCCCCACCTCAGTAATAATCACGTTCCACAATGAGGCACGGTCCACGTTACTTCGCACTGTCGTAAGGTAATCGAACTTTCTTAAAATTGCTTAGAAGCTAGATACAAGAAACTTTTTTAGAAAAGCTACATGTGAAGACTTTGATTATATCTGCGAGAAAATTTGTAGAAAAATTTGAGAAAAACCGCATGAAAAATTACAGAGAAATTGCATTCAAATTTGCGTCAAAGCTATAAGAAAAATTTGAGAGAAACCGCATGAAGAATTGCAGAGAAATTGCATTAAAATTTGCGTGAAAGCTACAAGAAGAATTTGAGAAAAACCACATGAAAAATTACAGCGAAATTACATTAAAATTTGCGTAGAAGCTGGAAGAAAAATTTGAGAAAATCCGCATGAAAAATTGCAAAGAAATTGCATTAAAATTTGCGTAGAAGCTGCAAGAAAAATGCTAGAAGAAGCGCATGAAAAATTGCGGAGAAGTTACATCAAAAATTGCGTAAAAGCTACAAACAAAACTTTTGGTAAAGCCGCATGAAAAATTGCATGAGAAGTTACATTAAATATTGCGTAAAAGCTACAAAAAAACTTTTTTTAAAGCCACATGAAAAATTGCGGAGAAGATACATTAACATTTGCGTACAAGCTGCGAAAAAAATTCTAGAAAAATTGCAGAGAAGTTACGTCAAAAATTGCGTAAAAGCTACGAACAAAACTTTTGGTAAAGCCGCATGAAAAATCGCGAAGTTCTTTAAATATTGCGTAAAAGCTACAAGAAAAACTTTTGGCAAAGCCGCGTGAAATATTGCATAAAAGCTACACGAAAAATCAAGGACGAAAGAGACTATTTCGCACCTATTCCGCCTCGAAAAGCTATCGGCTGCGAAACGAAAGTCCGAAAATCACTTTCGCCCGTTGCCATCGTCGCTTTCCCGCGCAAAGTCGCGAACATCCGTTAATAAAACATACACGGGAAATCCATTGCAAAAGGCTGGTAAAACTAAGCGTCGTTAAAACCGTTGGCGAGAAAACGGCCGCCTTGCATTATCGCGGCGGGAACCGTGGCGGAAAAAAGCTGGAAGCGGTTACGAACGAGCCGCGGCGGCGCATATTAAATCTCGAAGTGCATTCGTTACGCGTTACGCGGCGGCTCGCGATCGCGATCCTCCGCTGATTAATAAAGGTGTTATTAAAAAATACCCGGCGGATTATCCGACGTCGGATTAATCCAGTTGAGCGACGCGTCGGCACTACGTTACCGTTTCCCGCGGGGCGAATATTCGCCTAATCCCCGTCCGATTTACGGACCGTCGGGATTTACATTTTTTCCCCCCTTTCCCGCGGGTAATATGATTATCGCGACGTTTTCCGGAAAATCTCCGCCCCACCCCCTCGCCCGTCGTATTTCACGCGTGATTTATCGCCATCAAGGATAATGCGCTCCGGGCGAGTAATGGCCGTCGAGGAACGATGGAACGACGATTAGAAAATTCCATCGGCGCCTCTCGGACCCGCGGGAGAATTTTCCCGCGGCCCGAGCCGATATGCAGTTCCGGTGCATCGCGGGCCCAGAAAACTGCGCGCACGTACGCGCAGGAATTTATCCGGCCGCGATTACTCGCCTCCGCTTCCGACAACGAGGAAATATTAATCTCGTTTCACTGGCTTCGACGTTTTTCCATTTGCACGGGAACGTGAACGCGACCAGCTGTAAACTACGTCCGATGCCACCCACGTTCCGCGCTACGTCTCGCTCTTTATTATTCCGGCGACGCATTGTGTGACATCTCGATAATCTACGGGTACTTAATTCACGATGACTGTTTTTTGTTATTCCTTTCTCTCAGTTCTGTATTTGAGTGTAATTGCTTGGAATGTTGATTTTTGATGGAAATGGGACAGTTGGAACCTCGAAACTCTTTATAAAAAATTGTTCAGGGCTTTGATAATTACCCTGTACCATTATAGTTATTCATCGGGCTTGACAATTTTTTCTAAGATAGTTTTAATGTTCTACTACTTCCAGAAATTTTTTTAACAATGCCCTTCCGCTAATAATATTTTAAAAAATTTTGCAATTAGGGAATATGTCGAACTACGAATTTAGATGTGACAATGTTCTAAATGAATTTTGATCATTTCTCTACGACCTTATAGTCATTCTTTTTGCTTGACAATTTTTCATAAGTTAGTTTTGATATATAATTATATGTAGAAAAATTCTCAGCAATATCGTTCCACCAATAATGTTTCAGAAAATTATCCAATTAGGCGACCTCTCGGGCTACAAATTTACATGTGACAATGCTCTAAATGAATTATGATAATTCCTCTGCACTCGTATAGTCGTTCTTCCTGCCTGACAATTTTTCCTAAGATAGTTTCAATGTTCCTGTATAACCAGAAAAATTTTCGACAACATCATTCCACTAACGATATAATAAAAAATTGTCAAATCGCTCGACTTTTCGGCCTGCAAATTCGAACATAACAATCTTCCGAATGAACTTCGATCATCTCTCTGCACCCTTGCAGTCATTCTGTGCATTCGACGACTCTCTAAACTCTAGTTTTACCATCGAATTACGTTCACAAAAATGTTCAGCAACATGGTTCCCCTAGTTACACGGAGAAATAATTCCGCGAATGCGGCACTCTGCAAAATCGCCTTGCATTCTCGACTTTGCGTTTTAAGGGCTGCGAATTCGCTTTGACTTTTGACAAATTGCGATCGTTGGCAGCGGCAAGCTCCTTAAATATATTCCGTGGCCCTTGTTCGGTATTCCGGGCGGCGGCGACACGAATCAGAGATTTCCCCCGGCGAACGTACGCTTCTTAATTGAAACGGTTTTCTGCGGGTAGACGTAACGCGAGCCGAACGAGATCACGATCCCCGGGAAAAATTCTTTTCCTGGCGGTGGTAAGCAACTCTGCCTCCGTCTGCCCGTCGACGAGAGAAGAGCCGGGAAAACTTATTTAAGGGAGGATCGTTGTCGTTTTGAGAGCACGCCCGGATGGGATTACGGCGGTCGATGAAATTAGAACCGTTTAATTCCGACGCGGGAACTCGAGCGGGCGAACGATGTAAGAACGTGAAATATGTTTTGCTTTCAGCGTGCTGAACAGGAGTCCCGAGCACCTTATCAAGGAAATTATTCTGGTGGACGACTTCAGCGATCATCGTAAGCTTTAATTACCACCATTACGTTTCTAGACGGCTTATTTGCGCTGCTCGCAGACATGCTCCGAACTATTTTTCACTCGTTTTCACGATTCAGAAGAAACATCTTTTGCGGCGGTTGCTATTTCTCCGGATGAGTTGCTCCACGATTTTTATCCCGTTCTCACGAAGCTCTACTGTACTATCGTGCAAAAGTATGGACAAATTACGACGGGACTCATAAGCCTCAGTTATTAATTGTTTTATTAAATTTTTAATTTTTGCTATGTAGAAGCAGCTCAGTTTAAACGTCTGTAACTTTCTTAATTTTACATTAACACTCGAATAGTGAACCTTTCTGATAAAATTATAGCTGAGTAAGATCGTTTCGAATTTTCTTTATCAATTTTTGTTTAATATATTTTTTAAGGCACTACTTCTAGACGCGTTATATTTTCTGCAAACCCGAATAAAACATGAGAAATGTTCAATTAATTGACAGGAACTGGCGAATCGATTGACAAGACTAGCCGAAAATGTTTGAAAATATGTTCAAGATGCTGTAGCTCGTTGGAACAATGAAATTTAAAGATCAATTTGAAAAATTCTCTCTTGATACTTCGTCTATCGAAATCCAATTAATCGAACGTTGAATTATTATGTTAAACGATGAGAAATCTGGACAATCTCCCACATGAAAATCCGACACGAAATTATTGAATTATTAATTTTGAAAATTATGAAATTATTAAACATTTTTATTAAAAATTATTAAGAAATTATTAATTGATAATAATAGAGCAATAGTTAATTGTGAATCATAGATTGTCGAAAATTATAAGTTTATCATCGGTAGAGTAATGTGTTAGAGTTTGAATCTCGAAGAATTTCAACGTAGACGAACGTGAATGTTTTAAGTGTATCTTGGATGAACGATACGAGTGTTTGTTCTATTTCTTTCGCAGCCGAGGATGGCGAGGAGCTGTCGAGGATACACAAGGTGCGGGTGATACGGAACGAGAAGAGGGAAGGTTTAATGAGATCGAGGGTGAGAGGCGCGGACGCGGCAACCGCGAGCGTGCTGACGTTCCTCGATTCCCATTGCGAATGCAACGCCGACTGGCTCGAACCCCTTTTGGAAAGGGTAGCCGAGGATCCGACGAGGGTCGTGTGTCCTGTTATTGACGTGATCAGCATGGATACCTTCCAATACATCGGTACGCAGATAAATATTCTACAGAATCATCAGACCTTTGAATCTGTGAAAATTTAAAGGCAGAGGGGACCTTAGTTTTGACTTTTTTTTGTAACGGATTGCGATCTCTGAAAAATGAAGTTGACGGATGTGAAAGTAGAAGCTTTGAGCTTCGAAATGAATTATAGTAGACTTTCATACGAATTTTTTTTCACGAAGATACAGCGGTTCCAAAATCCTCTTCTTTTCACGTTTGAATCTGAGAAATAACAGTAAGCAGAGGTGACCATACTTTTGGCTCCGTTTTGTGACGAACAGCACTCTTCGAAAAATTATGTTCAGGTGTGTGAAAGTAGAAGGTGCGAGCTTCAAAATGAGTCATAGTAGACTTTCGTACGAATTTTTGTTACGAAGTTACAGCGGGTCTAAGATCCTCATCTCTTCTTCTTGAATTTGCGAAGTTTTAGAAGACAGAAAGGACCCTTGGGTTTTGACTTTGTTCTATGACGAATAGCAGCGATCTTTCACAAATGATGGTCGGAGGTACGAAAGTAGAAGCTTCAAACTTTAAAATGAGTCAAAGTAGACTTACGTGCGATTTTTTCTTACACAAAGTTACAGAAGCTCGAAGATCAACGACTTTGCTCATCTAGTTCAGTACTACTCAGTGTCCTCATCTACTTTCAACCCTACTTTTCGGGGTTAAAAATTCATTACAGTTGCAAAAGTACACTTCAAATTTTTATAATAGAGGAGATAACACTTTCTAATATGAATTTTATGTCGCCAAAAAAAAGAATCGCAGAGAAGTTTCCCTGTATCGGATAAAATCTTCAACTTTGAACATTTTCCCCGCTTGAATCGTAGAAGATCAATTTTTATAACATTATGAACATTTAAATCAATGCAAATAATTTCTAAAGAGGGCGGGACACCTTCAAAGCGCCAGCGTTCTTGGACATCCTCCAATTTACTTGAATAGTAAGTCTACAGCTCGCGATAGAGCAAACCTCCTTTTCATTCGCATAATTAGTGCGCCATGGAAGTTCTATTTAATTGGTACTGTGATTCGTCGGAAGCTGACGTTAATTAAACTCAGTTCCAACCATAAATTCAATCTTGTACAACAATGAAAGTCATCTTTATTTCCCAATTTGTCACTTGTCACTGAAAAATCGATGTATCATACACGTTAAATCATTTCTCAAAGACTCAAATTTATACTAAGCCACAAACAAAGTTCCCCCCCCCCCAAAAAAAAGACAGACCTATAAAAATAGAAAATTCTATAAAAATAGAAAATTCTATAAAAGTAGAAAATTTTATAGAAACAGAACATTCTATAAAAATAGATTTGATAAAAATTAAAATTCTACAAAAATAGAAAATTCTATAACAATAGAAAAATCTATAAAAATAGAAAATTTTACAAAAAAAGAAAATTCTACAAATGTAAAAAATTCTGTAGAAATAGAAAAATCTATAAAGATAGAAAATTCTATCAAAACAAAAATTTCTGTAAAAATAGAAATGTCTATAAAAATGAAATTTCTATAATTTCCAGGAGCCTCCGCGGACCTCAGGGGAGGTTTTGACTGGAGTCTAGTGTTCAAATGGGAGTACCTGAGTCAAGCAGAAAGGCAAGCTAGACAAAAGGATCCCACGCAGGCGATCAGGACTCCCATGATCGCCGGAGGCCTATTCGTGATCAACAAGGCCTACTTCGAGAAGCTGGGCAAATACGACACCCAGATGGACGTCTGGGGCGGCGAGAATCTCGGTGAGCTTTTCTCATTTCTTTGGAATCGACGGTGTCGCGAGATTGGGAGGGTGTGTTCAACGACCTAACCTTTTTCGCAGAGATATCGTTCCGGGTGTGGCAATGCGGCGGCAGCCTGGAAATAATTCCGTGCTCGCGCGTCGGCCACGTGTTTCGAAAACGACACCCCTATTCGTTCCCTGGGGGCAGCGGAAACGTTTTCGCACGGAACACCAGACGCGCGGCCGAGGTGTGGATGGACGATTACAAGCAGTTCTATTACAACGCGGTGCCCCTCGCACGCAACATACCCTATGGCAAGTGAGTATCCGAGACGTCCGGACGTTCGCATAACGCTGCCGCGTCGAACAAGTCGCACGTCGGCAGGACAAATTTGGTTCTTTATCAGATTTTAAAAAGTTTGAGTAAGTGTGTCGATTACTGTGCCGCCATCTGGTTACTGTGCTGTTACAATAATTTTTCTTATGTTTAAAAACGACGTTGTTAAATTCAAGACATTCGATTTTTTCAATGAAATTTGATCTGTCATTTTCATAATCAAAACTTATAAATTCTTATGACCTATAAAGTGCAGAAATTTAATGTAATTTTAAATTAGAAATTTTGATATAATAATATAGTTTCTGAAATTTTTTATATAAGATTTGATATCTCCTCTGGCAAACATCGCGTTATTTTACTACTTATATTATAATTAATATATTATTTTATTACTTATATTATAATTAATATATTATTTTATTACTTATATTATAATTATTATATTATTTTATATTACTTATATTATAATTATTATATTATTTTATTACTTAATATATTATTACTTAACCTTACTTTTTTGGTGGAATCTGTGTATTCTTTCCTTTTTTGAATAATATCATAAATATTGAAACATATGCAATAAATTATGCTAAATAATTTAGTACGGACCATTNACCCAGATGGACGTCTGGGGCGGCGAGAATCTCGGTGAGCTTTTCTCATTTCTTTGGAATCGACGGTGTCGCGAGATTGGGAGGGTGTGTTCAACGACCTAACCTTTTTCGCAGAGATATCGTTCCGGGTGTGGCAATGCGGCGGCAGCCTGGAAATAATTCCGTGCTCGCGCGTCGGCCACGTGTTTCGAAAACGACACCCCTATTCGTTCCCTGGGGGCAGCGGAAACGTTTTCGCACGGAACACCAGACGCGCGGCCGAGGTGTGGATGGACGATTACAAGCAGTTCTATTACAACGCGGTGCCCCTCGCACGCAACATACCCTATGGCAAGTGAGTATCCGAGACGTCCGGACGTTCGCATAACGCTGCCGCGTCGAACAAGTCGCACGTCGGCAGGACAAATTTGGTTCTTTATCAGATTTTAAAAAGTTTGAGTAAGTGTGTCGATTACTGTGCCGCCATCTGGTTACTGTGCTGTTACAATAATTTTTCTTATGTTTAAAAACGACGTTGTTAAATTCAAGACATTCGATTTTTTCAATGAAATTTGATCTGTCATTTTCATAATCAAAACTTATAAATTCTTATGACCTATAAAGTGCAGAAATTTAATGTAATTTTAAATTAGAAATTTTGATATAATAATATAGTTTCTGAAATTTTTTATATAAGATTTGATATCTCCTCTGGCAAACATCGCGTTATTTTACTACTTATATTATAATTAATATATTATTTTACTACTTATATTATAATTAATATATTATTTTATTACTTATATTATAATTAATATATTATTTTATTACTTATATTATAATTATTATATTATTTTATATTACTTATATTATAATTATTATATTATTTTATTACTTAATATATTATTACTTAACCTTACTTTTTTGGTGGAATCTGTGTATTCTTTCCTTTTTTGAATAATATCATAAATATTGAAACATATGCAATAAATTATGCTAAATAATTTAGTACGGACCATTTCACGTTCTTGTATTTTTGTTATCGGATTATTTACCTACAACTGATCACAGTAATTGACGCACAGTGATTAGATCAGTGTACAGAAATTCACACGCAGTAACTAGAAAAGGCACAGTAACTGACACACAAAAATGAGCTGCCAGATCTCAAACAATACCTTTCTAAAAATAAACTATTTCCTACCAACTTTAACGATTCGAGGGAGTCAAACGATAATTTATTGAACAATAATTCAATAACGACGAAGTGGAGCGTATTCTAAACGTTATGAACGTTAAATAATTTACCACTCTCTGTTCCTTTCCAAAAAAACAATTCTAAACACTACGAACTAGCCTAAATGTTACGGTAAATTCTCTCTAATTGACGCTCAGCTTGAAAATGGACGATTTTGGAAGAGGAGATACAATCATTTGAATCTTGCAGCTCGTTTTTATAATATTGTAACTTTGAGGCTAGTTCATAGTGTTCAGAATTTTTTCGGGGAGAAACCAAGTATAGCAATTTGTTCAACGTTTATAACGTTTACAATAAGCTCCACTTCGTCGATTAGGGAGAATTTACTGTGGTCCAAAAGCAGATTTAAAAATTAGCGCTAAAGCGAGTGTAAACAATTCTGAGCAGCTGAAACGAGCCTAATTAAATTCCGAACGAGGTATCTGGAAGGCGTTCGAATCCCGATCCCGCTGAGAAGAGAAATGAGACGGGAAAGAGAATTAGCCGCGAGGAAAGTTTGTCTCCTTCAAGGGATCGATTCGTCTAAGCGAAGGAACGAACAGCAGAGCTTGGCGAACGATCCGGGGTGTAGGTGCGGATGGAAACAAAGAATTTCCCGCGGGCTCGATCGTTTATCACGAACTAATTTCTGGACCGTCTTATTTCGCGAGCACAGACGCGGCGGCGCGGGCCGCCGCTCGATTTACGACGCGGGAAAACGGGAAACGGGACGAAATACCCGATAGTCGATTTCATTAAAACGCGCGTCAGCGCACGTGACCGGTATTAATAAAAGGGTACCGCGTTCCCTGTTCGCCGTTTTAGTATTCAGGACAGGATGGAGCTGAAGCGGAAATTGCGCTGCAAGCCCTTCAGCTGGTATCTGAAAAACGTGTACCCCGAATTAGTTATACCGACCAGCGAGGGGGGGCCCGGCGGATTCCTGAAGCAGGGAACCGCGTGTCTGGATAGCATGGGCCATCTACTAGACGGGAACGTGGGACTTTATCCGTGTCACGACACCGGCGGCAACCAAGTAAGTACCATTGTTCGTTATTCAACAGACGCGGCTGGTATTTCCTCGTTCTGGCTGGTAGACACAGTTCGGCAACGATCGATTCGAGTTTTTGCTTCGATCGATTGCGATCGAGGCTTTCGATTTAAAAGATTGATCGTAGAATTGGTCGTTCATATTATCGATTTGTGAAATTAATCGACAATCATTGATTTAAAAAATTAATCGTTAATCGTTGCGACAATAAAACATGCGTTGTCGACAAGCCTCGGTGATCCTTTGTTGCCGAAGCCTAGCTCGACGAGAGCATGATAAACCTAATCGCGATATCTCGTCAGAGCTTCTTTCTTGCAAACTTTTTGTTTGTACTGTAACAATTCGACTATTTCAGATTTCAGAAAAATCTGTGAATATCGTCACAGTATTTTCAATTTGTGAGAATTACTGAGAGATAACGTCGATTTTGATGACCAATTCTACGATCGACTTGATCGTAGAATTGGTCATTCATATTATCGATTTGTGAAATTAATCGTCAATCGTTGATTTAAAAAATTAATCGTTAATCGTTGATTAAAAAAATTAGTCGTTGATCATTGATCAAAAGAATTAATCCCCAATCGTTGATTAAAAAATATTAGTCATTGATCATTGATCAAAGAAATTAGATGTCAATCGTTGGTTAAACAAAATCAGTCGTCAATCGATGATTAAAAAATATTAGTCGTTGATTGTTGATCAAAAGAATTAATCCCCAATCGTTCATTAAAAAAAATTAGTCATTGATCATTGATCAAAAAAATTAGACGTCAATCGTTGGTTAAACAAAATCAGTCGTCAATCGATGATTAAAAAATATTAGTCGTTGATTGTTGATCAAAAGAATTAGTCCTCAATCGTTGATTGAAAAAAATTAATCGTTGATCGTTGATCAAAAAAAGTAATCATCAAACGTTGATTAAAAAGGAATTAATCGTCTTAACAAACAAAAAATCAGTCGTCAGTCATAATTTAAAAAAATCAGTTGTCGAACGTGATTAAAAAAAAGTCGGCGATTGATTTAATCAATTGATGAAATTAATCGTTGATTATCGATAGATAAAGGCAATTAATAATTGTTGATTTTTTAATGAAATTGAAAGTTCATTTCTATACAATTTCGTTAAAAATTGTCTTTATTATTTGACAACAATTGAAAGAAATACAATCGTTAATTGCGATCAACGATTAACAATGATATATGAATTGTACGTGCATAGATATACAATTATACAATATAATTAACGATTAACAGCAGCAATTCAATCGTCGATTAAGTTTCCGCCGAACTCCGAACCAAGCAATAACATTTTCCGAACATCTCAAAGCCGCATCGAGAGTTCAACAAGAATCCTGTTGCATCGCTAATCTTGTTTGCCATCAGCAATCAGAGTTCGCGTCCTCATTAAACTTAATTCTAAGGAAGACAGCTGTCATTACTGTTAGAGAGTCGGAATTGCGAGTTCGTAACTATATGTAGAACAATTCTGTTGTTTTATCTAACCAAGGAATATATTGCTCTAAGGCCAGCTGCGCGAACTGGCAGCTTCATCCGGGCGAACTATTTTATTGCCGGAATGAAACACGCTGTTAGAAATGGAATCCTCGTGCTAACTGTTTAATTGCGACGACCTGCGAATAACAGCCTCTTTCACCTCCGCGACGATATAGTAGCTGTTGCGACAATAAAACATGCGTTGTCGACAAGCCTCGGTGATCCTTTGTTGCCGAAGCCTAGCTCGGCGGGAGCATGACAAACCTAATCGCGATATCTCGTTAGAGCTTCTTTCTTGCAAACTTTTTGTTTGTACTGCAACAATTCGACTATTTCAGATTTCAGAAAAATCTGTGAATATCGTCACATTATTTTCTATTTGTGAGAATTACTGAGAGATAACGTCGATTTTGATCTAACTCCTTTTTTCTGATACTTCGATTCATGATTCATCGTGTGCTCGATAGGTTGAAGGAATAAACAATCTAATCGTTTGCCATATTTACAAAGACTGGTTCTAAAGTATGCCAAATCTAATCCGGATATTTCTTTCTACTTCAAATTACTGAAATTGATTCTTTCAAATTTAGAAAAATCAAAGAGTAGCGTCGTCATAATATTTTCGATTTGTCAAAATTTCGTTTGGTTTCTTTCTTTGACTACCTAGTATTGACAGTTGACAGTTGATGGTCTACTGTCGTTGGGAATTACTGACTTAATTTTATTCAAGTTGTTCATCAACTCTTTGATCGAAAACCCTTCTTCGATAAAAACAAAACCACCACCGTATGCATAATGGCGAACAGAATTATATAGATCGTTTAATCGTTTTAACCCCTTGCACTATAACAACAAGTCAAACTCGATTTCATACGTAATCTACTAAATATGTACTAAATATGAATGTTACTAATTTCTTCTAAATCAAAACAAAATTGAATTCGTCTGCTATCAAACTCTAGGTATGAAAGTAAACGTAGACACACGAAAAATAAAAATTGTCTCATTCTACTAGAGAAATGACTAACACTAAACCAAATGACCGGTCTCATATTTTTTATTTTCAAATTGTTAAAATTATGCAGATCCTTCCTCAAGAAACGATTAACTCAATTTCTTCATTCAAGCATGCGCGATGAATAAATGAATAAATATCGCGAAAGGTGAAAAGGGTAAATACAGTCTTCTCATCGTTACGAAGCAACATACGATAGGTTCAGTTTTACAGTTTTGGCTTGATGGGTTTAGTGTTAAAAATATTGGAAATGGGTAGATAAATAAAAGTAAAACGCAGTGAATTAAACTTATCCCTTTTAGTTTATTAATTTGATGTACGAGGAAGGACCGTCTTTACTCTCCTGATTGCTCCAGGAGACGAAAAATTCACAAAGACGAAACCGAAAACGTCACCCAAAGACAAAGAGCACTCTGTTCTATATACATATGAAATCATTGTTTATCTAATGGTACTCTGGCGAGACTCTCGGCGTCGATTCGTTTTTGTAACTTATATGCTAGAAGGAAAAACTTCTGAGTATTCAAAAGAGAGAAAATAATCCAATAAAAAACAAAGAAGCGTTACTCATAGTAGCTGTGAAAGAGAGCGTAGCGGAAGGGTTGAAACAGCAATTGCCCTGTGCTTTATAAAGTCGCGAATGACTCTGTAACGCTTACTCCGAAAAATGACCCCATTTACTGTATAAATAAATAAATAAATAAATAAATAAATAAATAAATAAATAAATAAACAAACTATCGTTTCAGCTGAAGTAACCACTACCCGACACCGACTACATTGCTCTATGAAATTTCAGGAATGGGGCCTAACGAAGGACGGCCTGATCAAGCACCACGACCTGTGCCTAACGCTGCCGGTGTACGCGAAGGGCACGACGCTGCTGATGCAGATCTGCGACGGCAGCGAGAACCAGAAGTGGAGGCACCTGGAGGGAGGTCTGATCAGACACTCGAGGATCCCGGTCTGCATGGACTCGAGATACCACGCGCAGAGGGGCATCACAGCGGAGAAATGCGACTCGAACGCCGAGACGCAGAGGTGGCACCTCTACGTTCACAATCACTAGCTCGCGAGGTCGGTCCCTGGCTCGTGAAGACCAAGGTGTCGTCGTCATCGTCGGCGAAGCGACCGGGTCCGGTATCTGATCGGCAGGAGCCGGATCGACCTGATCCGAGCGACCGACCTGATCGACCCCAACTCCGACCTCCTCGAACGCACTGCGAGATGAACCGATTCCTCCTAGAGGTTCGTCGACCAACGATGGACCCATCAGCCCTGCTAAAGCCCACGAAAGGGCGTACAGTGACTAATTCAAAGTGGCAAGACTGTTTCGCGCGACCGTTCCGACGCGAGCCAAGGTCGAATCGGAGACTTGGAATTGAATTCCCGTTCTTCGCGAAGACTTTCTAGCCGAGATAGATAAGCACTGCTATCGTTTCGGTAGCGTAGATAGGCTAAGCGGGAACAGGCGAGCTCGTCCTTCGGTTCAAGGACACGATGAAATCGCGAGAATCGTCGGCTGAAACGGGCTGATCCTTCGAGGAACATTCCGGTGGACTTTCACGAGATGCATTTATACACACCGATTTCCATGATCTTGGACGGATTCATCGTCCGGCCGCGAGGTTCGGCTGTCCGGCATCATGGCGAGGCGAGGGGAACCTGAGGAAAATACTCTGATATCCGTAATTTTAGGGGACGAACGGGATCGCTGCCGCTGGGATCTTTTGATCGACGGGCGTCTCGTTCGATCGGTGCACGCGGCTGATTATCAACTATCGATGACGGACTTGCGAAATAGGGAATTAGGGGATTTTGGAAGATTTTTTAGGGGATTTTTATTCGTGCAGAAAATTCACAGCGGAAGTGCGAGATACCTTTCGTTGTGAATAATCGTTGCCGCGAGGGCCATGTGTTATAATTGAAATGGATCTGTTAACGATGATATTAACTAACTGATCGATTACTTTTATCATGTGTGTGTCTAGTACTGAAAAGATAGGATTGTGGATTTAGCGATCTATGATCGAGGATTTTATTTAAGTAATTAATTTTTCGTTATATGTTTTACAGAGTTCGTGGGAAAACGATTTGAACCAAATTGGCCCGATAAAATTGACATAACTTCGACAAAAATTGAATTATTTGATTAAAGCTTTTTTTCTATAGCCTGCCTAAACATTACCGAAGAGATGAGAGTACGAATTTGGCGAACTATAATTGGCGATATTTATTAAAAAATTGATATTTCAGTCGTATGCCTCGTATACATTGAAAAAATGACATCGAAATAAAATGGTCTCTATGAAGCTGACATAACTTCAACAAAAATCAAATTATTTGATTGAAACCTTTTTTATAGCCTGCCTAAACATTACCAAAGAGATAGGAGCATGAATTTTGCGAACTATAATCGGCGATATTTATTAAAAAATTGACATTTCAATCGCATATAACTCCAACAAAAATCAAATTACCAGTCTGAGAATTTGTTTACAATCTATGTACGCAATACTGAAAAATTGTTCAAAATCCATCACCGATACTTGCATTAAACAAATGATTTTTCAATACTGTTTCTCACAGAACTCTGAGAAGAATCACCCTAATCAATGGTCCCTATTAAATTGTCATAACTCCGACGAGGGTGAAATTCTCGAACTGAAGTGTTTTTTTATAGCGAGTCTACACAATATCGACGAGGAAAGATCACAAATTTCGCAACTCTGTTCAACAACATTGTCGACAAATTTGATCGAAGTCCTGCGAAACGTTCGATGAGAAAATGTTCGCGCAATTCATTTCGTGGATCCGAATCGGTAGTTGATTATCGGTGGTGCGACACCTTGTAATCTTAAGGCCACTTCACGAGCAGCTAAAGCCTTGTAGCGATTTCGGTGATCGATGAAGAACGATCGAGAAAACGGGCCCGCTTCTTATTCGACCCCCCAATTTGTCAGGACAATCCTCGGGGCGTGTCCCGGGGAGAGCTAATCAATCCGATGTCGTAGCGAATCCTGTTTTTAGCTGGCTTGATTGTTGAGAGAACAAAGGAAAAAAAGGAAGACGGAAACGTATACGCGGCCGCGACGCCGCTCGAAATCGAAGAAAAAAAGAAAATGGAAAACAACATTCTCCTCTCCGAAAAATCTGGCGGACGAATCGCGGCGTGAATCGGACGCTTCTCGGACCGGGATAGCGTGGCACAGGCACGATTCACACAAAGAGATTTATTTTTGTATAACAAATTGTACACTTACTTGGTTGTGCGAATAGTTGGGGACTTCGGTGTGTGCCCGCTTGATCGGATCGACGCGATGCGAAACGGCGGCACGACCGCGGCCTGTCGATCCTCTGGAAAATCACGAAAATTTTCCGTTTTATTAAATTTCTCTCTCGTTTCGTTATTTTATGTATCTCTCATTTATTCAATTATTTATATTGCTAATGATATTGGTATGATATGGCGTTTCAATTTCACTGATAACAAATAGACGAGAGCGTTGGATTGAACATTGGTTGAGTAACTTTTCAGTGGATCAACCACAAGACTGATTTAAAATCACACAATTTCGCGATTTTGAAGCGCGAATTTTCACGTTTGTTCAATTTTCAAAGTTCTCCCTAATTTACCTTCAGCTTGCAAACAAAAATGGACAATTTGGGAGAAGATACGATTATCCATTGAAATACTCACGTTTTTATAATTGTTCACAAGCGGCGACTATAAAAATGAGCCACGAGGCTCTCCTCTTCCCAAATTGTCCATTTCTATTTATAAGCTGAAGGAAAATTAGGGTGAATTTACTGCATTGCTTGGCAAAACTGCTACAACATAATTTCAAATCAAATTCACGGTACAAAATATTACACTACAGATTTTTGATCGTTTATCTACTGCTCGCACAAATTAGCAAGGTACTATTGCATTCATAAAAATCCATAACGATTCAGTTTCATCTTTGAAACGAGGGATTTTTCATTCCATGGAATACTTTTCCAATTAAAGATTTTGAAATGTCACGGAAAGTTTACAATATTTTTGCTTCTTCATTTCTACTGTAACAGATTTTCTAGCTGACAAAATACGCGTTTCTATTATTCTGAATTCGGTATGAAATAGCTTGCGACGATCGCGCCGAGTTTAATCAGTTCTATGGGAGTTTCTATGGCGTTGATGATGGAGGATCGACGGTGTCTAATGATACGGGAGCCAAGGATCGCGTTGATGCGATCATAAGCGGGAAATGGTGCGACTAACGCAGCAATACGTAAGCAGAAAACGATCTTTTGTACACTCACACTTTCCTGACGACAATGATCCGATGCTGTGTCATTTCGCGCGTTGAAACTACATACGTATACATAGTTATATACATATTATAATATGGGAGTTATGCTATTTAATATTGTAAGCTTTTGTATGATAACACAAGTGCGCTCTGATCGACACACATTTCGCAGCACTATGACAAGGAATTGTTTGGAGGATCGCTTTTTGTCCTATCAGATCGTCATCCTCCTTCTTAGAGTATTTTTTTATGATGTTTTTTTTAGAACAACTATCTATTTTAATCCTTCGACTTATAGAATCTCTTTTTACTAACGGACGCTTCGATCTTCGTTTGATCAATCAGTTGAATCTTCCATTTCGAACCTCGTACCGTGTTCGCAACACTTCGCTCCAGCAGTTTTTTTTGTAGGCACTATAGTGATCGATAATCTTCTTGAACGAAGATTAAGTGCAATTTATAATAATAATAATAATAATTTGTGCAATTTATTTTATTGTCGCTATGCTGTTAACATTTGAAAACCGATTTTCGTCTATCATGTTTCAGATTTTAATTAATTAAAAAAATACCCTAATCTTGAATTACATAGTAAATAAAAAATTTCGTGACTTCTTTAGAGCCGTTCACGAACGAAGATCATTCTAATAAAAATCCACGACAGTAACAATTATTTTCGAGTCACCAAATTGAATTTCAAAAAGTACGAAAAACTATAAGAATAGCATGTATTTCTAGAAATAATTGCTGCGAAGCGAACACGAAACGAGGATCAATGAAAATAGATCTGTGAAAACACGATTCATGAACAATCGGCTAACAATCGGCATCACCCGGTAATTTTCTCGTAATTTATGACGCGCGTAGCTGATTTCCGCTTACGTTTCACCTAATCCAAAAGCCGAGGGGGGACGTCGGAGCAGCGAAACAAGCGTGAATTGCGAATCGATGTACATACTTCTCACGTATTTAATTAATTGTCCCTCTATTATCTCGAATTCTCTCTCCCGTCCCAAAGCATCTCCCGATTAGGATTTCTCCGAATCAAGTCGAACCGCTTCGCTGTTCACCGCTTTCGTCGCGCGCTTCGCGAGTAACGAGACAACCATAATCGCGTTAAACGATTGTACATAATGTGTCTACGATAACTTCTAAGTCTAAGCTAAACGAAACGTACTTCCATGAATCTGTAAGCTGTAAGATAAAACGGGCGACTCGGACGTTAATTATTAAGGTGACAGTTAATTATTAAGAATCCGCGGCGAGCCCCGGATTAGTGTTGCGATCGGTAGACCCAAGAACTTGCTAAATTTAACACCGATGTGTCTCGATGGTTCTTTAATTATCGCGAAAAATTAACACCAAAAATGAACACTAAAATTAAGGGATAATTATAGGATAAATAGAGACGATTTTAATATCGCCAATCCGTGGTACATAGAAGATAGTCGCGCTAATCCGAGCCTCGCCGCAGGCTGTACATTGAAACGAGTAATTTTCCTGCCTCCGTTTAATCTGCGAGTTGAATTCTCGATTGATTAATATTCATTGCCTCTCTCGAGTCGTTAATTGTACAGGTCCGCTCGAAAACGGTGTTCCAAGATTGAAATCAATTCTGTATATTGAAATGAAATCGAGTCCGTTGAAACATCTTTGATTATTAACGGGCAGAATTTAGGTTTCCTATATTGTTGGATATCGTTGTTTTCGAGGTGTCTGTATAATGTCGATCATGCGTTTCCGGCGAAGTGATTTTTAATATTGAACGTTGTCTGTTTCACTCCCTACTTTCAATCTATCCGAACATCGTTTCACAATTGTTACATCGATGCATTGAAGACTTGGTAGCTGTTGTTTTTTTTATCAAACTAGGATTAGCGAGATGCATTTTTTCCCTTCTCGAAAACGTTTGCCTAACGTATGGCCTCGTCGATTAATAATTATCGATTGATAATTAATTAATTAATTGATAAGTTCGTTACCATTTTTGTAGAATGAAATAGTTGAATGAAAAATTCGCTGCAACACTTTTGTCGACTAAAATAAACGAATGAAAAATTCGCTGCATTTTTCATCGATTGAAAGGATTTAATTAAAAATTCGGTGCCGTTTTTATCGAACGAAATAATCGAATGAAAAATTCGCTGGTTTCTATCAGCTGAAATAATTTAATTAGAAATACGTTTCAATTTTCGCTAAATACGATAATTGACGGAAAAATTCGCTAATTTGTGTGAACTGAAGTTAAATCAAAATCCGAATACCAGTCTTCAACTTGCAATTATTGAATTTTTACTGGTCTGTATTTTGCAACTGTATAATACTAAATCCGAACGAATTACATACATACAATTATGTACGATTCGTATATACCTATGTACATGTATATACATATACGTTAAGAGTGCGATATTATAGTACTTATAGGAACAAGGTTTTCTAATAAAACAATGGAATCATTCCAGGAACTGATCTATAAATATTTCCTTCCAAAAATGCAATCGTTAATCAACAGATATCTTATTTTATTAAATGTTTTCTGTACAAAGAAATTAATCAACAGAATTGACTCTGAAAGTATTTAAAGTCTGTCCCATGCTAAGCGGGTGCTTTGCGCTTCTTCAGTCCTTTCTGCACTTTTTTCTTAAATTCTTCTAAATTTATATCATTCTTCTGTTTCTTGGGTTCTGGGGGTTTCTCCTCAGGAGGTACGAATGCTTGCGCCCTGCGTTCTTGCCTCTTCTTCTCAGCTTCCTCGTGCTTCGCATCTATTTCCTTCTTTTTCTTCGCTCTCTTCTGCTCCTCCTTCAAGAAGTACTCTCCAGATTCTATCATTTTGTCTATCTTGCTCTCTTGCTGCGGTGGTGGGAATGGTGTGTATGGTTTCTTCTTGTTCTTCTTCTTGGGCTGCTTACGTTTGCTGATGTTCTTGCTGCTAAACTTGGGCAGGAATCTTTCCCAGTTCTCGTTCTTCAGCTTTGGGTCCTTGGCTAGCTCTTTCTTGATCATCAGTGCTTTTATATTATAAATAGGATGAATATTCTTCATGGTGTCTTCTACTATCCTCCTAACTTGCTGGAGGCCTTTATAAGGACCCAGAGCAGCTACCGTTTGTCCTTGTACCAGTACGTAGCAATTAGTCAGCAACTCGATGGACTTCAAAGTACATCCATTAGGTCCGATCAATCTTTGCCTTCTTTTAACGAATTTCTCTTTACTCCTGACAAGAGAGGATATTTTGATGATGTCGGAGCCAGTGTCATCTTGCAAAACCTTCACAGCTTGCTCGAAAGGGACAGATCTTGACATGAGCTTGATCATATCGCGTGCTTTGACGATAATGTAAGGGTCCCATGTTTTCCTTGTGGTTTTTACTGTCATACTACCCTCTATCAGGTCTAACTCTGCTTTAATAAAATGCTCATCTAAAGCATTCTGCACCAAGGGCCAGTGTTCTTTTAAATACTGTTCCCTGTATTTTGGAAACAAAGTAGCAAACGAACTTTCTTCGAGAAGACGGTGAGGATTATCAAGGGCCTTAAATGCTGGGATTTTCAACGACCACGCATTGTCCACTGGCCGCGTTGTTTTTGGAGCACCTTCGTTGTCGGAGTCACTCATTTTTAACACGGTTATTTCTCACACTTCGAGCATTACACTTTGCTGTATCAATAACAACATAACCTCGCGAAGCACGTATTCAGAGGTTACGCTTACACCATAATAGAAACATGCTTATCGAACACAGCGCCAATACAGGAAGCGGCGACACGTTCAAACTGACGGACGGAATAGTTCACAGAGACATTGGAATAATTCGGATAGTCCTCACTCAAAAGTAATGATTTTATCTCAAGATGTTCTTAATAATTCTGCGCAACGATAGTGTATCGGTGTACGTACAGATTTCCATAACTGCGACTAGTTAATCTATTTGAAAAGTAGTGTATCAACAGGTGCTATGGCGCTCGATTTGAATTCGATTTAAATTAAAGAATTTCATTTAAACATGAACTAATCAGTGAAAACTATTAACAAATTAAGTAGCAGCGGTTACATACGTATTTTATGCGATGTGTAATTAGTATTATCCGTTTTTTTACGCAGGGAAATCATTGTTGTGACACTGTACTTGCAGAGCACTGCGCTTCACTTATTTTAATTCACATTTTTAGCAGAGGGCGCCACACCTCCTTGATGGCGCCATCTCAGAACAGAACGTTACACCTTGTTGTCGGCAACAAGCTTAAACATTTTATTGCAGATGGCACTGTAAAATGTTCAAAAATTATTATTATAGGGGCAGACCTCCTTGACAGTATTGGTGGTGGCATCTTGTAAGGAAACATTGTACTTTGTCGTCGGCGAAAAACTTGGGCATTTTATTCTAGGTGGCGTCATAAAAATTGACATTTGAATTTTTGTTTTTGAGGTACGGAACAATTATTAATGTGAAAAAGAAGGTGTAAGTAATGAATATTGTTAATTATGAACGGATTGTTGAAGGAAACTACAAAGAAGAGGCTCCAATTATTGGTAGATAAAGAATTTGTTCCAAAGTTTTCTTTTTCAAATTTATAATTTCAAACAATTCGTGTACTTTTACGTTTAAAATTAACACTAATGTTATTAACCTTTCTAAGATTAAAATTTCACATTGCATGTTATGACTTTACAGTTAATGCTATTATTATGCATAGAGTTGTTAAATTTCGTTTGTTTGTTCAACTTCTTTCATGTATTTGGTTATGTTTCTGTTTTATTGTAAACAAGGATTGGTATCATATAATATTGATCTAAATTAAAGAATATTCCATTAATTTTTAGGTTTGCTTAGTTTCTAAATATTCTTCTTCTAACATACGTATCTTTTTTTCAGACTGAAATGTTATTTTGTATTGTGGTTACATGGTTCATTACCTGGAAATGATTTGTTATTATATAAAAATAGGTGTACTTTTTGCTTGTTCTTTTTATGCCATATGTAATATATAGCTGCAAAGGATCCCACATGGCACAGAGATTTTTTATAGCACATTAGATCACCCTATGCCCCTTGTGTATTTTACCCCTTTCAGAGGGGTACCAATCACCCCTTTGATCCTAAAAAAGGAAAAGGGGTAGCTGCTAAAAAAGGGTGTTGCAGATGCCAAACTATTGACCCTGTAGTTTTAATAGTTTTTTAGTTCTGTTAAATTTACTTTATATTGGGAAAATATCTGTTTTAATAATATCAGAAACAAATATTATGAATACATTGTGAAGAAAATTAAAAAATTATTAATCAATCAATAGAGAAACTTGACTGTGATGTCACACTTGCATTCTGGTCAATTCTTTCCCTCGTATCCTACTAGAATTTATAGGGTACACCCCTTTAGACGTGGGGTTTAGAATATTCTAACGGAGCATGCTCCGTCTTTCCAGCATCTCAGTCTGAGTTGAAATGCTAGCATCCCTTTCCAATGGTGACGGTAGAGGACGATACACCCTTCCCTTCCGTTCAGTCAGAGTTGGGAGGGCACACCCCTTTTTGTGTGGGATTTAGAATATTCCAATGGAGCATGCTCCGTCTCAAACCTGGCACGGTGTGTTTTATAAAGCCTGCCATCCCTGTCCAGCACTGGAGAATGTGCTACGGGGATGGGCTTTTGCTTCCCCACGATTGGTTGAACCTGGGGTATACCCTGACGGAGCTTCTCCACGTAGAATCTGAAGTAGGGAAGTTCAGTTTAACAGATACTGCTGCTGGATCTGCATCATGCTCCTGTTAAAATGATAGTGTGGGTGTTAGAGTGTTGTGAAAATTTTTTAAACGCACAAACAACAGTATAATTTGGCTCAGGTAGGTGTAGATTTGTGAAAATGTGAATATTGTTTATGGAAATGAATCTGCAACATAGACAGGATTATTTTAAAATGAAGATGGTCCAGTTTTGTTAAAAGAATATGAATTGAATTTTATCTAGCAATAATTATTTTGGACCAATCTTAAAATTCATCTTAGCATCTTTTTTAATTTATTCATTTTTTAATCAATTTTTCTTTCTGTTTATTAAATATAGAGCAGAATCAGATGAAAAGTATTATTTTCCTAGGTAGAAATGATGTCATATGATTTAGGTAATGTTTTTACTGAAATTTTTATATATTATTATGTTTTAGATTAATTTATTATATTTTTACTGTAATGTTTAATTGGTGAGTGTGGGTCTACATTATTTAAAAATAATAATAGCAGTGCAGTGTGACATTTTTTAATTGAACTATTGCGTTTGACTGAATTTTTATAGTGCTTTTAATAAATTAAATTAATTAAATTGACCAAATAGTGATGTAATCAATAATATTGATGGATACTATGAAACGCAGTTAAAGAGGTAAGTTAAATCAATTTTTTAAATTGCAAAT